GAAGCAAAACTCATAGGAGATGTTTACTTCGTTGCTAAAGTCACAGTTAGGTTAGTAAGATGGGTGAAGTAAACATGCACGCTGCTTAATAAGCCGCTTACTAACCGAAAGAGTTGCTTAAAGTGCCGCTTACTAAGCATACCACCCCTTTATGTATTAATTAAGCGGCACCTTAAGCTTTTCAGTTTCCGAATTTACCCCTGCCCTTACCCTATTGTTACCCCTACCCCCACCCCGCCCAACCCTTCTACCCCGACCCCACCCTACCCACTACCTCCATCCTCTAACCTCACCCCTTACCCTACCCTACCCCCACCCGACTCCACCCTACCCTACCTCAATCCCACCCTATCGCCATCTACCCCTACCCTAGCCTGCCTTACCCCAACCCCGACCTCACCACACCCCACCTACCCTGCCCCTACCACTTTCCCTACCTCGGCCCACCCCAATCCCGGCACCACCCTACCGCCCTCCTACCCTACCTTGCCCCGACCCCACCCTCCTACCCTACCCCTACCTCGGCCCCACCCCGATCTCGACCCCACCCTATCGCCATCTACCCCTACCCTTACTCTACCCTACCTTACCCCGACCCCACCCTACCCCAACCCCCTACAACATGCTCCTTCCTCAACCCCACCCCGACCCCACCGCCATCCTACCCTACCACTTACCCTAGCTTACCCCGCCCTTACCCTGACCCCACCCTACATACCTCAGCCCTACCAAACCCTACCTTACCCTGACCCCGACCCCACCCTTACCCCTAACCACGACCCTACCCGACTCCCTACCACTTGCCCATACCTTGGCCCCACCCCCACCACATGCCCCTACCTCGGCCTCACCCCAATCCCGACCCCACCCTACCGCTATCCTACCCCCACCCACCCCCTATTGTGGTAAGGGTAGGGGTCAAGGGTGTGGAATTGGGTAGGGTAGGGGTACGTGGGTGTAGGGGCGGGGTAAGGGGTTAGGGGTATGGGTACATGTATGAGGTGACCCCACATATTATATTATATACTTGTGTTAATGAATGTTTGTGCGTCTATATATGTATAGAGTTATTTTGGACATTTTAATGTTAAACAGTGTTTTATACCTTGTGAAATAAACACGATCTTACAACATTGCTTAATTTATGCGCCGCTTATTAACGCGAGTCTTAATAAGCACTGTTTAGTAACCTGTGAAGTAAACATGTCCATAGACAATCTTCTTTCCACTAATAAGTATGACAAACAATAAAAATATTACATATAACAACACGAAACTTTCTTTCAGTTACAACTGAATGGATAAATGAAAATAAATATTACTACATATTGACTTCATAAGTTGAGAATGATTTATTGACCGCTAAGAATTTAAAATTTGAAGTCTCGAAAGAATGAACGTTTCAAAAGAGACAAAATGTTTGGCCGCCAAGAAGATTGCCAATTTGTCGTCCTCGATCTTTAACTACTATTAGGAACTCAAATATAGATTTTTTCAATTTGAAAACAAATAAATAATTGGGATGAGATTTGGGAGCCGCACGGGCTCTAAAATAATTATTAGATAAATTTGTTATGTTATAATTAAAATGAATAAAAAGCCTTAAAGGCTAAAGAGATGTGAAGAGTGAGGAGACATGTCTTTTATTGATCCAGCAACGGTTGTATTGCTTTTAAAAACTAAAACCGGTTCTACTTATAATTAATGTATATATTTTCTTTTTTAAACTTAGTTAAAAAATTGTATATATGTTTTAAATTTTCAAATCGTCAATAAAATTAAACATTAGGCCTAATTAATTAAACTTACGAATAAAAGAAGAAGTCTATTCACACTATATATAAAAGAAAGATTTTGGGTCTATTTTTTCTTCTATATCTTTTCGGGCCTAGGGCGGTCGCCCTTGTTGCCCTCCCCCCAGAACCGGCCCTGGGATTTGGATGAATTTTCCAGGAGTCAAAATTCTTTTCTCCCATACTTCAACAGCTCGTCCTTCTTCGGAAGCACCTCCATGTAAGGAAGCAAATTGGATAAAGTTTTTATTTTTCATATTATTTTATTTCAGTTCGAGCACGTATGATTGGAGTATTTTTACATGTAATATTTATTACGTAATAAATACTATGAAGTCCGAAGTAATACTTCGAGCCCGTTTGGTAGCACGAAAATCGCCTGCTTTGACTGATTCTGCTGAAATTTATGAAATTTTGGCTCAAGTGACTGCATTGGCTGATTCTACTGATTTAAGAAAAAAGTATTTTAAAAATATATTTTATTAATAAAATAAAGAAAAAATTATATGTAAAGATAGCTAAAATGATCATCTACAGTAACTTAAGCCAATACAGGCAGAAAAGTAACTCCAACCTTACTTTTTCTGCTTATTACACAATTCAGCGCGCGAAAGCAAAAGTTACGTGTTTGGTGAAAACGTTGACTGATAAGCCTGATAAGCCGAAAAACAGTAGTTCCAAACGGCCTCTTATTTGATTACTATCGTCTAACCGATTCAAACCTAAATATTCTGAGATGACAAAAAAATAACTAAAGAATCAGTAAAATTTGAGAGATAACTAAGTAGATTCAATTCACTCTGTTAAGCTTGATCTTATTTCTCTGAGAATTGCATCATTTTATATTACGGACTACAAAATAGTCATATAATCACCCTGTGACATGTTTATTGTGCCATGATTCCATGATTGACATGTTACAATTTCATAATTTGATGGGTTGAGGTGGTTATTGTGCCGATATATGCTGGTTGATTGACTACATAGCTTCTTGAAAGTAGTACCATGTTTTTGAAAACAGTACTATGTTTTTTGTGAATAAAAGTAGTATCATGTTTTTGAAAACATGGTTATCCATGCTTTTTTATTCACACAAAAAACATGGTTAATAACGTGCCCCTCATATCGCGCATGTTAACAATGTTTCTTCCAGGATGATGTGTGTGTCTGATGCCAATCTACATGCAATCGGTCTTACCGGTGTGGGCTATATAATGGATCATTAATTACATTTCTATTTTTATGTTCGAGTTTTGTAGCTTTTACTTTTTTTAAACATAAAAAATTTGCTTTAATGAATATATAAATAAAACTAATCCTAAATTAAATATTGATATTTATAAATTACTCTCAAGTAATATACTTTAGATACAAGGCTTTGAAAATAGAAATACTTACTTCGTATGTTATTATTGTCTAAAAGGATGAAACCCAATTTGATTGAATAGGTACGTAACCGGTAACTAAGGCGTCAAAGGTGATAAAAATCAAATTACCATGTGGTATTTTAGTCCCGCCAAAAAGGTTGGATCCCCAACTCGAAGGCCTCTCTCTACATTACGATACGACAAGACATATGAAAAGTTGTAAATCACAGTGATTTGATTTGTCAGTTCAATGATGATATACCTTTTATACATGCGTTCTAGAGGTTCAACCCAACACACATGATCGAATTGTAACTTCCACACGGTCATTGCGGGTTTCGATCCTAAATCATTTCTCATCTTACCACACGATATTTTAGTCGACCCACTTGTTGTTTTATTGATAGTGCGACAGGAACACTAATCATCCATATCGAATTATCGATCGATCAATAAATAAACTAAAAATCTCTTTAGCTTTATCTCACACCATTCTAAATTCTTCAATGTTACAATGTGCACGGTGCACATGTGAAATGAGAAATAATCACAAAAATATTAGTAAATAAATTATTTCTTTCCTTGATTGAATGATTTTATATAATTTTGGTAACTTTTTCTTTGGAATTTGTGTGTAGATGCTCCAACCCTTCTTTCTTTGGAACACAATTAATGAGATAATTCTCAAAATAGAAGTAAAATATGATAAAATGGTAAAGAAAAAGAAAGAACAAGGGAAAAAGTCAAGAATACAAAGAGAGAACTAGAGAATTGAATAACCATGCGGTAGATACACGAATGACCCATACCTAAACGTCATGTTCATTAGCGTTTTTATTTTTGACTGTTTGAAGTAAATTGTCAAATTAAAAAGCCAGTAAACAAACACTCCCATTAACATATTGGTCTGATCAAAAGGCCAGATAACAGTCAAATCACTAAATCAGTCAAAAATGGCTTATAAGCGGCTAACCAACCCCCAACCCCCCCAACCCCATGTTATTAGTCATACATTCCTTAGAACATTTATTGATAATTACTCCCTCCGTCCCAAAAACAACTTTAGAGTCACTATTCATTGGTCAACTTGAATCACTTCTAATCTTTTACTTTATATATCAAATTTTTATCAAATTTAGATTTTCTTGATCAGGCTTTGTAGCGGTTTAAATGTAGTTTCTTAATATGTATTTTTTTTACTAAAAATAATCCGAGTGTGAACAGAGATCAAGTTGCTTTATCGTCAGTCAAATATCGTAAACCGAACGAGAAGTTAATTTTGGGATTGAGGTAGTATTAACTGATGATCATACTAATAGTATCTATTATTTCTACTATAGTACTGCCCTGTGACATACGAAGAACGACGTATATTCAATATATACTTCAAATCTGCATTACATACGAAGGTTCGATTTTGACTAACATAACTCCATCGCATAATTGGGTCATCATACTCCTAAAATAAATGATGATGGTGAAGTGACTGAAATCACAACATCTAACTCCATACAAGACTCGTACATTCTTGCATAAAATTCATCACTCAATTTAATAGTGGGATTACCCAACTATTGATATTAATACCAGTATAAATTATTTTGGTGAAGTCATACTAGCCTTTATAAGAACTCCAGTCTCCAGGTGTCTGTATAGTAGTTAATTTAGGATTGGACAATTTGCTCAACTAATAGTTAATTCAGATTTAGGATTGGACAATTTGCGTTCCATATCAATCAACCATACCCCTTCCAAATTGCAATATTACATGCCGCTGCATGCCTGCATCTAATATACACCGTAATAAACACCTTTTCTTTTTTCAATAAAAAAAGACACATTTTAAATACGGAACTTCTATTACAATAATAAAAAAAGGCTTATCACTAGTCCTCATGGCATATTGATAATGGACCAAATATATGTACTTAATACATGTTATATTTTTCTCATTTGGTATTTATTGATTTTGTTGTCAAACCTGCTAAGCAATAATTATTGAAATCAGTAATGGTGTGTCTGATGAGGTTTGTAGGCCAAACTAAAGACCTTTTCTTCTTTACTAAATGAAAAGAGTATACATTGACTCAAAGAAGAATCACAATGATCTTGAAGCATGCTGTGATTTCGCTCTCTCCCTCAACACAGCGCCCACGATAGCAGCCTGCTCAAGACACTCGGCTTTGTGCAGCGAATCTAGAAGAACAACACAAGTTTTGGTATATATAACACAACCTCTTAGTCGAGTTTCCTCGAACAGCTGGTATGCTTCTGCTGCCCTATTTGCAACACTCAGCCCTTCTATCATAGTGTTGTAACAACCGGCATCTGGTACACCGCCGTTGGCCTTAAATTTCCGAAAGAGCTTTTCAGCTTCTGACACATTTCCTGCTTTTGCAAGCCCAGAGATCATGGTGGTATAAGTGATTGTATTTGGCTTTAGCCCTACTTTCTGCATCTCTTGCCAAAAGACAAAGGCTTTATTGAACTTCCTAATCCTACAAAGGCCATTTATGAGAATGCTATACGTGACGAAGTTAGGAGGGCAGTTCAAGTCCTTCATTGACTTGAAGCAGACGAGAGCTTCATCTACTTCTTCTGCCTTCACAAGGGCATCAAGCAAGCAATTCCATGTCTGCACATTTGGTGTCAAGCCTTTTTGCATTAACTCCTCCATGATCAGATACGCCTCATCTATCCTACCAACTTTCCCAAATCCATCCACTAGACTACTATACACCACTACGTTCAAATCAACATGTTTGGATTTGGCTTCTTCAAAAAGCATGTAAGCCTCATCAAGCCTGTCAATCTTGGCAAGCCCATCAATGACTGAACCATATGTTATTACAGTAGGCTCGATACCTTTTGCCTTCATTTCCTCCAGCAGCTGGTAAGCTTTATTAACTTTCCCAGATTTACAAAATCCATCTATAACAATATTATAAGCCTGTGTGTCTAAAACATATCCATGTTCCTTCATCGCATAGAACAGCTCATAAGTCTCATGAGCAAAGCCTGCTTTAGTGAGGCCATGGATTAATATAGAATAGCTCTGCACATCAGGTGTGAACCCCCAACCCTTGATTCCATCAAAAATTGCTTTCCCTCTATCCGTTTCACCTGCCTTGAAAACACAATCCATGTAGGTATTAAGAAGGGGGAGGTCAGGAGAAATCCCTCTACGAACCATTTCTTTGTAAACTTTATGACCATCTTCCTTTCGCCCACATTTGAAAAAATTCTTGATTAGAGATGTACAAACAATAGCACCACCACTAGGTGATGTTCGGCCAGAATCTAACATTTTTTCAAAGAGGCGATATGCATCATCTACCCTTCCATGCCTGCCCAACCCCTCAATTAGGGAACAGAATGTAACTTCATCTGGCATACAAACTTTGTGATCCATCCCTTCAAATATTGAGCAAGCTTCATCAAGTTTGTTACCCTTGCACAGACGATCAATCATTATGTTCACAGTCAATACATTAGGAAACAATCCAGCCGTTTGCATGTCATCACGAATTTGTGAAGCAATCTCAAGCTTCCCTGCCTTGCATAGCATGTCTATGAGAATATTGTACGTTGACAGATTTGGGGCTGCATCTTTTTTCATCTGGTGAAAAATCTGTAAAGCCTCATCTATCCTTCTCTTCCGCCCAAGGCAAGTAAGGAGACCATTATACGCAATCACACTGGGTATTGAACCCTTTGCCTTTTGCCTCTCGAGTAAATTGTATGCTTCATCAAACTTTCCAGCAGATCCATAACCCATGATCATTGTGTTGTATGCATATGCACAAGGAACTGCCCTATTGAGCTCCATCTGCTCAAATAGCTCAACAGCTTCAGGTAGTCTGTTAGCTTTACAGAGAACACCAATCAGACTAGTGTAGGTCACTTCGTCAGGTGTAATACCAAGGGCCTTCAATTCATTGAAGAACTTCCAAGCCATATCGACCTTACCTGACTTACCAAAGCAATCGATGCAAACATTGTAGAGGACAATGTCTCCACTGTAAGAGTTGCTTTTCATCTCATCCAGCAAGGAAAGAGCCGCATCAACTCGGCCCTCTCTCGCGAATGCTCGAATCACTGTGGTGAACAAATGGACATTTACTTCGTACCCTAATTCCTGCATTTGATGAAAGAGGTTCAGCATGAGATCGGGTTCATGGGCTTCAGACAATGAACCTATTAATGTTGTATATGCTGAAAATGCTGGGCGAAACTTAAATTTCCTCATAGTTTGAATTAGATCAAATGCTTCTTTTAATCTTCTGCTCTTGACACATCCTGTAACCATTTCAATACATGTTCTACTCGAGGGACCAAAGCCAGCAAGACTCATTTCTTGAAAAATCTGCTCTATATGCTCAAAATTTTTGTTCCTTGCCATTACCATGAGAAGTGAATTGTATGCTTCTGGGCAATGAGTTTGGTCATTTTTCTTCTCCACCCAACGGAAATAATCCATTGCGATTTTCGCATCATTTAGCTTCCGTAAGACTGCAATTACAACTTGAATATCATGTTTTTCGTCATTATCAGATAAAGCGTTTTCCAAGGAGGGTCCCAATGGAACACTCTCCAATACCTTGCAAATGCTATTTACTACTTGACTAACACTTTCCAATTTGCTTAGGTATTCTTGGTTCTTCCATTGCCCAGTATCAGCTCCTTTCCCTAACTCCTCGAATTTACTTAAAAAATCTAATTTCCTCCCCTGCAGGTCAGGATTGCCTGTGCTTGTAGACAAGAGCCTTGTAACATTTGCAAATTTGAAAGCATGTTTTGAGTGAAAAAGTGACAGTAAGCCTGCAAGCAGAGTAAAGAATAGGGAGCAGTTAATGTTAAATTTTGGAGTAAAGACACTAGGAACTATAGTCCAGGAAATCAAACAATTCCAGAACAAAGAAGTTTATACTGAACATTAATGACGTAAACCAGAGGCACTCACATTATAAGGTCATAAGCTTATATGTAAGACTGGGCTTAAACTTTTAGGAGGTTTTGTGCTAACTACAAAAATTTGGCCTTTTAGAGTAAAACCTATGCATAATTTCATCTAGGAATATGTTTCAAGTATTATCATATAATATTCATATTTTTTCAAAATAAAACATTAAAATGGGCCTTCTTAAAAAAGTGCTTTTATCTACAATATATACTATATTTTCAAAACTTTAGGTCTTATAATGAGGAGTCCTAATGGTGTAGTTCTTCTCACATGCCCTACTAGACAGCCTTGCTTATACCCCTACGAGTAGATAAAAGGTCAGATATATTGGTTCCTACTGAAGAAGCCTTGAGATTTGGGAATTGTGGAACTGAAACACTACAATCTCTTGGGATCCTCTTTAAGCCGATATATTCAAATCCTCTTGGAACGAAAGTTCAGGTCCGAACGTTCGGACAGGACCCTCCGTCCGAACATCCCTGTTTGGGGCCCTTTCCGGTGGAATTTTTTGATGAATTTTTTTGAGCATATTCCTCATCAAGTCTAGTTTGTCCATACCAAATTTCAGCTCAAAATTCGATCGGGAAGGCATTCAAATAATTTTTTGAAGTTGACTGCGTTTTTATGTGTACATTTTGACGCAGTCAACTTCAAAAAATGATTTGAATGCCTTCCCGGTCGAGTTTTGAGCTGAAATTTGGAATGGACAAACTAGACTTGATGAGAAACATGCTCAAAACATTTCATCAAAAAATTTCACCGGGAAGGGCCCCAAATGGCCATGTTCGGACGGCATTCGGACAAAAACGTGCTGGACAGGATCATTTCTCTCTCTCTCTCTCTCTCTCTATATATATATATATATATATATATATATATATATATATATATATGTATGTATTTCCAGGAACTCAGGAAGGTCAAATTTCACTACATCGAACAGCTAACAACAGAAGGTTTTATACGTAGAATAAAACAAATTAGAAGTGAATAAAGCTTTCTGTGGGGATACATTGATAGAAGGGGAAAATGATTCCAACAACAGAAAGCCTCTTCAGAAAAGGGGAAGCAAAAAATGAAAGGATTCGAACAGCTATAAACACCTTTACTTTTACAGAGACACATCATTGCTGTAATGCCTGTTACCCAGCAGGTCCTATTCTCATCTCAAACTTCCAAGCCACCAATAATATAAGTCCTGAGTGCATATCCATCAAATGGAAAGATCTCTTCCTTCATCATATACTGTTCAGTTGAGTATAGCTGTTAAATGCAGTAAGAACGAAGACAAGGCATTCATGAAGTAATTATAATAAAATGATACAAATATGATTTACCAGGAATCTTAACATTAATCCTTTCTAGATTCAAGGGAACTTATATATGCAGAATGAGAGAGCACTTGCATTGAAACTTTTTAGGGTTTTTGTTAGCAAAAATTTCCTGAAAGAATGGGTGTAGTACGATGTGGAAGGGTGCTATTTCGGCTTGGTGATGGACTTGTGGTTGGGTTTTAACTGAATAGATTCTACTATGAAATATTTTGGGGTTTTGATGTTTCCTGCACCAAGCCACCAACTTCTAGGTCATGTATTATATAGTGCTACTGGTGATGACAGGGTTAAGGCCTGTTTGGTTCAATGGGACAGCAGAACGGGGGGGGGGGGGGGGGATGTTAGGCATTTTTGCTACCTTGTTTGGTTTCTGTTAAAGGAGAGGGTATTTCATGATCCTTTATTTGCTTCAATATTGGAGGTGAGAGGATGCAAAAAGTAAAGTACTATAAGCTCCTAGAAAAATATAAACTGAAATAGCAAATATATGCACTTCATCCATTCTTAGTTACAAAATGGCAAAAGCAGATTTGGTTGTTCGAAGCTAAAAACAAAACAACTCTTGCTTAGCAAAAAAAAAGTGATCCATATGACCATATCTGTTAAAAGTGGTTCATATTGGGTTTCGAATGTTCTCCTTAAGAAGCATCAAAAGCAAAAAAATGTATTGGAGATGTAGGGCAAAGTCAAAACATGAGATAGATTATTTTGTAATTGTGACCAAACTAATACAATCACAAATGAGATTCTTTATGCTTAACTACATGTCTAGCCAAAAATAAATTCTAGAGAAATGAAGCAGAACTTAGAATCAAGGTTGAGTACAAAAAAAAGAATCAATTAGTAGCGCAGAAAAAACTTACTTGATGATATAAATGTGGAGAGAAGAGCTCCCTTGCGGACGAGAGTGATAAGGGCACAGTCACACAGGGTTTTGATTTCCATATGCGGGGATGGCATTTTTTTCCCTACTCTCCAAAACCCACCATTCATGAACACAAAAAAATGAGAGGAGATGAGGTACAAGATTTATGGGAAAATTGCATTTTTTATCCCTAATTTGTTTCTCAAATAAAGTTCTTGTCTTTTTATTTTTTGAAAATTGTTTCTTGAATGTTTAACAAGTAATGATGTTTGCAACTGTGGCAGAGCCGGAATAATAAGCTATGGAGGTGGGAGATTAACTGTTACCAGGCGGAAGTGCTGGGGCGCTCCTTGCTGCTAAGCTGCAGGAGGAGGAGGCTTAAGCAACTGGAAGAAGCTTGAGGTTGGTCGGTAGAAGCTGAATATGAAGGCAGCTTCGGGCTAGGTGATTCCAGGTCAAACTAAAACCAAAAATACGGAGCAGTACTTTGTCCAGAGATTTTAAGGAGCCAGGACTCTTTAAAGAGTCATGTATGGTTTTTGAGTAAATGAGAGACCATGTTTGATCGAATTATTAGTTGAAAAGGTGGACATACGGAGTATTTGCCAAATATGTTAGGTATTTGCAAAAAGAAAAAAATATGTACCTGGAAGAAAAGGTGAATATGTCCATCTTCTTATTGGTCAAGAGTATTCCACGCAGATCGCCATCTCGGATCTTCAAGTGAAGGGTGTGGATCGACTTTTACTTAAGCAGATTTGGTGAATCCACACGCATTAAATTAATATATTTCCAACATATTTGGCAAATATGTCATTCTTCCTATTGGCCGAAAGTATTGGGTGCGGATCGCCATCTTAAGGCTGTGGATCGGCTTCTACTTGAGCAGATTTGAGCAGATTTGTTTGCATTAAATTAATTTATTTCTCAACATATTTGGTGAATATGTCTGTGCTCCTATTGGTCAGAATAAGTTGGCTCAGGTCGCCAAATACTGAAACATATTTGGCAAATCGGCTCTATAAAATCCCCCACAAATCTCACTTCACAACACATCTAACCGTTCCAATTTCTCTCCTCCAAATTTCGGTCATCTCCTTCATCTTAACCCAAGTAAGTTTTTCCTTAATCTTTTTTAGTTTAATTTAGTTAATAATTTAATTATGTTACTTAGGAATGAAATTAGTGTATAAGAAGCTGTTCCGTTCGTCTTAATCTTATTACTTATTCCTTAATCTTATTTTATTCAGATCAGATCAGATCAGAAAGATTCAGATCAGATCAGATCAGATCAGAAAGATTCAGATCAGATCAGATCAGATCAGAAACATTCAGATCAGATCAGAAAGATTCAGATCAGATCAGCAACATTCAGATCAGATCAGAAAGATTCAGACCAGATCAGACCAGATCAGAAACATTCAGATCAGATCAGATCAGATCAAAAAATTCAAACATGATTTATCACTTTTATTAATATATTAATTATGATTATTATATTATAATTATTGTTAATAATATTAATATATTAATATAATAATATTATTAATAATATAATAATAATAATGTTAATAATATAACATTATTATTATAATATAATATAATATAATATAATATAATATAATATAATATAATATAATATAATATAATATAATATAATATAATATAATATAATATAATATAATATAATATAATATAATATAATTGTATCTGTACTTATAATTAGTGTAATTAGTATAATTATTATAATTTTAAATTTAATTTTAATTATTATTTTTTTATAATTATGATTATAATTGTAATTTTATTTAAGTTATATTTTTAATTACAATTATAAATCTAATAATTATAATTATAATTACAATTATAGAAATATTCAAATCAGATCAGAAAGATTCAGATCAGAAGAATTCAGATCAGATCAGAAACTTTCAGATCAGATCAGAAACATTCAGATCAGATCAGCAACATTCAGATCAGTTCAGCAACATTCAGATCAGATCAGAAAGATTCAGATCAGATCAGAAAGATTCAGATCAGATCAGATCAGAAAGATTCAGATCAGATCAGATCAGATCAGAAAAATTCAGATCAGATCAGATCAGAACTTAAAAAATTCAGATCAGAAACATTCAGATCAGGTGAACGGAACAGCTTCTAATAGTGTTGATTTTTAATTGTGAATTAGGAACCTATAAAAAAAGTGAAACGAGAAGCTTATAAAATATTAGTCTATTTATCAAATAGGAAAGATTAGTGTTAATTTACTAAATACGTTTGTACAAATGTACTTATTTATCTTGGTTCTAAAAAGGTGAAATAGGAAACTTACCAAATATTAGTCTATTTAACCTTGCTTCTTGATAATTTCTTCAAAATTCATTTGTTGAAATCTTGTCTATTTTGGTGTAGAACGTAGCCTACAAAAAAAATTAGTTTAATTTAATAAATAATTTAATTTGTGTTACTTAAGAATGAAATTAGTCTATAATAGTGTTAATTTTTAATTGTGAATTAGGAACCTACACAAAAAAGTGAAATAGGAAACATACAAAATAGGCTAAAGGGTCAAATAGGCCCTTGAACTGACTTAAAGTGTTCAATTAGCCCCTTATATAGGATGTTATGTCCCGCCGTCGCTAATTGGGGTGGTTCCCGGTAAAAAAATTTGATGAAATTTTTTGAGCATCTTCTTCATTAAGTCTAGTTTACCCATACCAAATTTCAGTTAAAAATTCAGTCAGGAAGGCAGTCAAATGATTTTCCGAAATGTACTGCGTTGTTTAACTTCGCAGTTATCTTCAAAAAATTATTTGACTGCCTTCCCAGTTGAATTTTTAGCTGAAATTTGGTATGAGTAAACTAGACTTAATGAAGAAGATTCTCAAAAAAATTCATCAAAATTTTTTACCGGGAACCGCCCTTATTGGCGACGGCCGAGCATAATCTCTTACATAAGGGGCTAATTGAACACTTTAGGCCAGATCAGGGGCCTATTTGACCCTTTAGCCTACAAAATGTTAGTTGATTTACCATATATGAAAGAGTAGTGTTAATTTACTAAATATGTATGTATAAATTTACTAATGTGCATGTTAACCTTTTTTGGATAATTTTTTCACCATTCATTTGTAGAAATCTTTCCTATTTCAGTGTAGAAATTAGTCTATAATATGTATTAATTAACGAAATATTAGTCTATAGTATTACTCTATAGTTAACGAAATATGTTGTTGTTTAATTAGGTGTATTTTTTGTATTACAAATTGTATTCTAAGTAGTGTTGTTTAGTTAGATTTATAATTTGTATTATAAATATTGTTGTTTAATTAAATTTGTAATTTGGTACGGAGTATTAGAAATTGTATTATAGTAGTGTTGTTTCATTACATTTATAATTCATATTACACATTTAAGTGTTGATAAGAAATAAATTTAATATATTATTAGGTTTTCATGGCTGCACAAAGAGAACACCCCCACCCCGGGCCCCAAAAACGTTCTGTATTGGTGATGAGACCAGGAGAACATCGTGTTGATCATCGTGTTCATCCACATATAGCTGTCACGGTTATTATTTAAGAGTGTTTAGTATTCTCAAATAATGTAATAATTCACAGTATTAATTATATAAATTTATATTGCAGACTCAATGTTTGAGGGAGGTTGCTCGGGAAATGCGTGAAAGAGGTGACCCTCGAGATTATAATGCATGAATGCACTCATGCATTCATGCATCATACCTCATACATTCATACATACACACGTGCATCATGTTTTGACAGTACCGCGACGTCGGTTTATAGATGCATGGACCTCTAAGCTTCTCCGATTGGAAAGCTCGAGTCAGAGTCCTTTACTCCCGCCTGATGCATTCAGGGGGAGTGTGCCCGTGGAGGAGCACCCTTCGCCCGACCCCGTCGGGAAGGGGGGTGCCTCACCGGCAGATTACGTTCAGGAGTGCAGACACCCACTCGTATATTATGATTATTCGAAGACACAGTTTCCAGCAAGACAGAGGAAGAGCGCAGGCAAGAGTATATTTTCTCGAGCAGATTCGCACGCTCACTACTCAAGAAACTGGGGGACTTGTGTTGGGATATATAATCCCGGCCTATTACTGTTCAGGAGCCCAAGACATTATCCAGTACGGAGCCCGAGCAGCTAGGTCCATTTCGGCCCATTAGGCCCGATATTGGCCCGTTTGGCCCATTAGGGTGGAGAGTACCCTTTCCCTTTTGTCTATAAATAGGGAGCTTAGCCTCCATGTAAAGGATCCCTTTCTTCTTCCTCTTTCTCTCTAGAATAGCTTAGAACTCCATTAATGGGAGCTTCAATACTTGTACTATGTAATGGTGAGGAGAGATTAATGAGAATGAGAGGGCTTGGACATTAGCCTAAAAAGTCCCGTGGTTTTCTCCCTTTCGGGTTTCCACGTAAAAACTGAGTGTTCATACATATATTTACTATATCGTGTTGGATTAAACTCAACAAATATATATAATTCTCTTTCAGTAAAAATTTAAAAAAATCAGTTTTTGAAAATTTAAAATGAGACAAATTTAATAATATATATTTCAAAAATATATATTAATGCATCAATAAATAAAATGTAATCAAAGTAGAACATGTGAATGGTGTAAAATTTCACATGTTGCACTTATTTAAGAACGGAGGTAGTATTATATACTCCCTCTGTCCCTAAATTTACTTCCATTTCGCTTTTCGAGAGTCAACTTAAATCACTCTTAAACTCTTACTTTTTGTATCAAAACTTTATGAAAATTGATTTTTTTTTGCGCAGGCTTTGTAGCGGGTTTAATGTAGTTTCTGAATATGTAAATTTTATTTACTAAAAATAATCCGAGTTTTCACAGGGATCATTTAACTTTATCGTCGGTCAACCTTCGTAATCCGCAATCGGAACAACATTCAGGGACGGAGGGAGTATATATATAAAATAAGAATGAAACAGTTCAACTGAATGCCCAATTATTTACGGAGTAATGCATAATAACACATTATAAAAGCAAAACTTATCTCCACCGAATGCGCAGCGGCATGCGCGCAACACTCAAGCTCTTCAGGCTTCCAGATCGAGCGAGAGCACAGGACCGGCAATCGGCGGTCGGCAGAATTTCAAAGCGTTAACGCCTTTTTTTCTTCTCATCCGAATTCGAGAATCTAGTCAATGTATATTATTGACATTTTCTGTTCATTCAATTACGAGTATGAATTACTTCGTATGTACTCTACCACGTTTTATTACTTGAATGTCGTTTTATATACTTTCATGTCGTTTCATTTTACTGTTTTCTTTTTCTGTGTATCTAAGGAAATGTCGTCGTTTGGCTAAATGAAATTTTAAAAGAAAAATGACGCTAGGTCATTGTCTTCTTTCAGCTGAAGCACACTAGTTCAGCCGGCATAAAACCATGAAAGCTCCAGGGGCGCCGGAATAAACATGACATATATATACCTTAAGTACTCCGGCGAAGGGGTGGCGCCAGCACCGGCTCGCCCACCCCTGGTTCTGCCACTACGGTTGCTGGA